TTAGCAGCGGAGCTGGGAGTCAGCAGGGATTTCGAGTGCATTAAGAGGGGGGAGAGGCTGCCGCATTTTCCCCGAGCCCAACCTCGCCCGCGGGCCCCTCTCCCGCTCCCCGCTCGCCTTCGATTGGGGCTCTCTAATCTCCGGTGGCATTAAGGGGAAGGGCTTTGTAGCCCCTGGAAGCGCCTGGCCGGTGGTTTGGATTACGTAAGCGGCTAATAGATGTCCCCGGGGGCTGCGGGAGATGGTGGTATCCATTCCCTCTGGCTCCGGCTGGGGATGGGGAGCAGATGGAGGGTTTACCCGCCTCCTCCGGGGTGGGAGCGTCAGCAGCCTCCTGGACGCTTCGTGGTTTGATGCGGGAGGAACAAACCACTCCCTCTGTCCGGAGGAGATGGAACTGGGGGTGATTTGGGACGACTGGCTGCGGGAAGGAGGGGGAAAACACCTCCCAGAGCCGCGATGGGATTCACCAGCAAATTCCCCCTGCTCGGTGTTGTTTGGCAAAGCCTTCATTTGCTGATATTCCCAATGAGTGCTTCTTTCCAGGAATGCTCTTACCCTTCTGCAGGGCTTTCCTGAGGGATTCCAATCCCTTACCCACTTCACTTTCCCTGGAAGGGATAGAAATTTATCCCCATCTTATTGATAGGGAAAAGGAGACTGTTTTAACACTTCCTCATCCCTGGAAGTGTCCAAGGCCAGGAAGGGGCTTGGAGCAACCTGGACTAGTGGAAGGTGTCCCTGCCCATGGCAGGGGGTGGAACTGGATGATCCTTAAGGTCCCTTCCCGTCCAAACCATTCCATGACTCCATGGAAATGTCTCAGGGTCGGACAAGGTGTTTCATTGCTGATTTTAACCATTAGATGTAATTATTCTCTGTTATTAGTTTTTCTTTCTGCCCCAGTATGGCGCTTTTCCCACCCACTCTCTGGAATTATTACCTGAATAATAATTAGGTGATACAAGAACAACCAAGACAGCTAAAAAAGGGAGAAACCTCCCCTCATGGACACCTTGGGATCTGGGGCTGGATATCTGGATCTCCTGCGGGGAGCCGGGGAACGTCCTGGAGCACCGCAGGCTGATCTGGTGATGGGTTCCATTTGCAGGCAAAGGAAATAGGATCCCCTGCTCCCTCTGCAGTGTCAGACTGCCTTAAGTGCATTATGGTTTCCTGGCTGCTCCCGAGCATCTGCTCGGAGCCGGGATGCGGGAACCGGTGACCCTGCGGCCGCAGGCTCAGATGGGCCCTCCTTAAGTGGTTGGCATTAGACCAAGGAACACTCAGAGCCAGCACAGGGGGTGGTGGCAGCACCTATTAGGAGAGCAACGAGGCTGGGGAAGGGACTGGAGCACAAGTGCTG